CACACACACACACACACACACACACACACACACACACACACACACACACACACACACACACACTTAAACATACATTAGTGTTTTGGACTTGCCTGCTCTGTATTCTCGTGCTGTTTCTGGACGATGATTCCAGCGCTTTGTGTCAGATCGATGTGTAGGAGGCTGCTGCTGCTGCTGCTGAATTTGAAAAACAAATCTTCATGAAAGCAAAAATATACACAAACAGCGACATATGACATTTGAGTTTTGTTGATTTGGGTATTTCTATGCAAATCGTTTACTTCTCCTCATTTCAAACTGAAATGAAAACCTCAAAGAAATAAAGCTTTGTGCACGCAGGATTAAAAGCGTTGCAGAAATTAGAGACAATAGAAAGTCAAAGACAATCAACAACTTTCTTTTTGTTGAGAAAATTACTTTTTGGTTCATAGAAACCTGTTACTTTATGATACTTCATCCTCAAGCACAATGATGTGTTTTTATCTTTTTACGAGAAACTAAAAACAATTTTAAAAACCCAAAAGAAAAGAAAAGAATTTTATTTTAAACAACAACAACAAAAGCCTCAGCCATGTTGATTTATCAGAAAGTCTGGACATAGACATGCGATTGATGAACAGAAACATTTCAATGTGTTTCTAGTAAAAATTACACATTAAATTAAGATCCAAAGCCTTACAATGCTAGTAACTGGCAATAATATGTGACCTTAGTTAGAAGCCAAAATAAATGCTGTCTATAAATTTAAATCTAACAACAGTATGGTAGTTTCTAGTAGGTGTAAGACAGGTACACCGGTCCTTCTGCATTTAACTGTTAATGTGTTTTGTTTCCTCAGGCCACAAGAAGAGGAAAAAATCTCGTGAAGGGGAAAAAACACCAGAGGACATTTCAGAGCAGCCGCTGGTGAAAACCTAGCAGAGTGTGTGTGAAACAGCCCAGAATACACTCCATCATGTGATGGTTCTTTAAGCTGTTTGTAAAGACAAATGTGGCTGCTGAATTACAGCTCTCAGAGTTTTATCTGAAAACACACTCCAAAAGCCCGCACTGTTGGAGACCGTAAAGTGGACCAGTTTCCAAGAATGCACAGAACCTGTGGGTGGAAGACACCATCCTAACAAAAAGCGGGGGTGCAGCTTTAGCAACATGCACCAAACCCTTCGCTCTTTGATTCACTGTATCAAAGAACACAAGCTTCAGCACTATGCCATGGCTTCTCATCTCCAGGTTCTTGTGTGGATGCACATGTGTAAAGAAAAGACTGTGAATGTAAAAGATTTATAGAAAAATAGGGTTTTTTTTACTCACGTAAGACCACTTCTTCAATGGAGCTAAAGACACTGATGTTGCTCGGGAAACAGAGGGAAGACACCAAAGATGTTGCTGTTTTGTACGTACTGCTCCAAATGCACAAGTGAAATTATAGTAAAGGTTCTTTTAGAGGCTGCCTGATTAGCACCCTTTAAATAATAATTAGAGTTTCAGCCTACAGTGCAGAAATACTATCTATTTGCATTCTATTTGTTAACACCTGCATTTTATATACTGCATATGAAATATGCACGCATTTTCCACCAGTTGCTCACAAAATGTGGTCACACTGAGAAATAGTGAAATAGCATACAGCGATTCCTGATGGTATGGAGGCCTAGAAGTGCCAACAGAAAGAAAGAAAGAAAGAAAGAAAGAAAGAAAGAAAGAAAGAAAGAAAGAAAGAAAGAAAGAAAGAAAGAAAGAAAGAAAGAAATGAAAACATCAGTGCCCAGCATTGCTGATGCTTGTGTGGTGTAGGCTATTACAGCAGTGAATTCACATCCATAGGGATGAATGCCATGTACGAATATAATGTAAACCTTTCGATGTGCCCACGTGTTTCTACCCATGCGGTGAATCGATTCAGTAGATGAAGACAAATATATGGTTATGATTATATATTTTTCAACTGCATATGGGTATTACGATTGGAGCTCTAAACCTCCTGTTCATTTTATTCATCACTGAGTCTGAGAATCATTTAAGTGTCTGTAAAACGTGGGCTGGAGACAAATCTCCTGTTGAATGTCGAACACAAAGTCATTCCCTGTCTTGCTGAAAGCGATTAGCTTAGCTTGACCTAAATCCTGGAGTCTGGCGCAATTTGCTTTAAGCGGCTAAAATCAGCGTTTTGTTATGGTAACAATAAAACATCCCATGCAGAGGTGTTAGCAAAGGGCTAGTGAGCATTTAGTTGGTAGACACTATGGCCAAAAAATGGCCACCATGATGTCATCTATTTGTTAGAGAAGTCTCATTGTTGGGGGTTATGCGGGTTTCATGGATGCCATGTTTTAAACTCATGGCTCAGAACATCAGGAAAGTGTTATTTTGGAAATAATCCAGCATTGAAATATTGTTCTGCTCTGATGTTTGCTACATGTGCTGCAGGCAGTGCTGAGTGTATGAGAAACTGTGGCTGCTGAGCCACAGAGCCAAAGAGGATGTAATGATTATATAACTCTCCTTAAACGTTGTTAGCGGAGGTGGTGGTGCGGTCTTTAAAAGGCTCTGTTTGTTTTTCTTTTTCCTTCATGTATCCACCTACAGTTCATATGACAGCAGTGCTGAAAACTCCCAGTGCCAGTTTGTGGATGACATCATCGCTTGAAATCATGCTCCTTCTCGGTTTTGATTGTTGAGACATGTCGCTTTTTTGATCACTTTTGTGAAGTATAATATCCTGCCACTCTTATTGTGTAGGAAAAGGATTCAGTAATAATGTCTGAAGGCCCAAATCATTCAGGTTTTTGGTGATCTGTGAAGAGCTGCCTCTGAACCTGCGCTTTCTGTTTGTCTGCATGGTACAGCAGGGATGGGATGGGAGGGTGTGGCACTGTCACTGAGGTTCAGGATCAGATTTGTGCCACTGCAGCATAGACCTGGAGCAGGAGGAGGAGGAGCAGAAGGAGGAAGAAATGTGAAAAGAAGGAAAATGCACTTAAAGGCCTAAAATTTGACTCGCTGATACAGTTTTGTTTCCTGACTGAAGCCACTTTGCTGCATTACTTTGTAAAATGTTATCGTGCTGCGTCATCTGCACTTAAAAACTCTACTTGCATAATTGGTTGGAGGGGAGGATTAAAGACCTTGATTTGTTTAAAGTGAATTTTGAAAGACAGTCAACAAATTAGTGAGAAGCATTAGCATCAAACAGCCTCTCCCAGCAGTACAAACACATATTTAGGAACTAGTGGGAGGGGTGCTTTTCAACTCTGCTCATTGGTTAATGTAACAGGAGGCCAGGCAGAGAGAAACATCCCTCCTGAGTACAATACATGAAACCTGCTGAGTCATTTTGCTGCATTGGGGCACCAGCCTCAGCCAATCAGCAGCATCCTTTGAGGTCAAATCCAGACAATAACAGATTCTGCTGCAGGACGTTGTTGATTTGTTAGGTCGGTTCATGCTTCCTGCTGTACATCTATTTGAGCTTCGGAGATCAGGATGCGCTCATAACATGTCTGAGATCAGTTCTGTATATTCACTATTTCTGCTATGAGACAAGGTAATGTCAGCTGATCAGTGCAAATTTGTTTTCAGCTGTTTTCACTGTACTTTCTAACAGAAGGAGCCGAGCTGCAGACATGTACAGACAGCATTTCCTTGGAAATATGAGAGTTTAATACTTGTAAAATAGAAAAGCAACTATGTGATGTTTTTTGTATCAGAATATACAAAAATACAGAGTTCCACAAAATACTGAATTTTAACAGTCTGATGTCTTTATTTTATATTAAAGACAAATCTGGTGATGATATATTATGGTTTATTTTTCTTGCTTTAAACATTTCCCACAAGACCAAACCAACCAACATGATCTTACTGACAAGTGTCGTTGGCATTAAGGGGCGAAAGTGTGCCATGAAAATATCCCTCCCCCCACTACAGCACCACCAACACCACCAGCCTAAATTCAATAAACCGTTGTTACAAGACAGGATGGATCCATGCTTTCATGCTGTTTGCACTAACGTCTGACCCTATAATGTGAATGTTGGAGATGTCAAATCAGGACTCATCAAATCAGGGGACATTTTTTCTAGTCTTCTGTTGTCCAATTTTAGCCTCAGTTCCTGTTGTTTGAGGACAGAAATGAAACCTGGTAGGATCGTCTGCTGCTTCAAGTTGTGGCATACAGTGAGTTTGGAGTTCCTCTTTCTCTATGACTCCAGTCAACTTAAAGCAGTCACTCACTGGACAGTTCTCTTTTATGAACCACAGAGATATCTGTGTAAATCAGCAGTTTGTGAAATAGTCTGTTTAAAGTCACTTTAGTCACCTGCTCTGTTCTGGAAAGCAGCCACAAGCTCCTCAGCACAGCTATTACTTGTGACAGCTGATGACTTCACTTCACACTCAGTGCCGTCAACTGGCGGTGTGCGGATCGATATTGAAATATCAATTCTTCCGATACCAGTAATTTATGTTCTAGAATCGATTCTCATATTAAAATATCAATATTTTAGTACTTTGGGATAAATTTGCAGTTTTTCATTAACAGGAACACATTGGAAAGAAACTATATCATTCGGATTGTCTAAATTGGAAGGAACGACTTTCTCGTACGCCTTTCATAGTCATATGCGAAATACAGCTGTACAGCCCATGGCGTGCACACTCAAAACAATGGCTGAGCGTGAACGGAGTCATGTGTGGACGTATTTTGCCTCTACGAAATGCCAAGATGCGGTTTGTGATACATGTGGCAAGACGGTGAGGCGTTGTGGCAACACCACTGACCTCCTCAAACACCTCAGAGTAAATCATATCACAGAATATGACGAGCGTATGTTGAGGCGAACTGAAGAGGAAGAGAGGGACAGGTGCTGCTGGGGCGAGCAGGCAGGCAACATGTCAACATGTCAAATAGCGCACAACTTTTATTTTTTTTTTATTTCTATATTTTTTATTCTGCATCATTAAGTAATAAGAACAAGTACTCTGTCCTGTAATTATGATGAAGCTATATTATTATTATAGTTACAATTACATAATGCAATTATATATTGTATTATGAAATACAATGAAACATTAAGTTTTTGTATCGGTTCAATATCGTTGACACCACCCTTGGTATCAGATCGGAAAGGAAATCAGTGGTATCGCACATCACTACCGCCAACATCTCCACACTTTCTACACAATGTACGGTGTTAAACTGCTGATTATATCATATCTGGATGTCTGTTTTTGCCTTTAAATATGAAGATATTTTAAATCCACTGTCTCACAAGATGATAGATATGGGAAAAAACAAAACACATACACAGAGTTCATAATTTAATTTAGTGTGAACGCCATTACAAACACCAGTTAACATGTGACTGCGGCATAGAACAGGTTCTGAGGTGTGATCAGTGGCTTCTTACAGCGGCTTTGTGTAACAACATAAGGGCACTGCAGGGTGGAAACAAAGTAACAGAGAGAGGAAAAAGGTGACTTTTGTTCAATGATGGCACAGAAGGCGATTTTGTTGACTTAGTGGCTAAACAAATTATCTTCTGCCGTATGTCTAAAGCAAGGCAACACAGCATCAGGCATGTGCTTTTTTGAGATGATGATGACCGTTGAACTTTAACACAACAAAATAAAATCAAGATTACAGTACCAGCTTTTATATTCTAATGGCTAAAAACAGGAAAGTGATTTGTTGTGGTCTCAGTGCTTATAAATGAAATGGCAGGACTCTAACAGTAATTACATCTATTTACACGACTTTTCCTGTGCTGCAGTTTGTTCAGTACTACTGTTGTGTAGGAAGCATAATTTCATCGCAAATCTTCCCAGTCCACATTCTGGTGTCCAGTTTGAGTGGAATGATTTGGACTGCACAGAAGCTTGCGGCAACAATTCAAACATATGATGGGGTTGTCACGTCTGCGTGTTCGATCATACCTGGCTCTTCCAAAAACCACTGTACCTCCCATAAAATGACGCCGTCATGTGAGAACAAAAACACATCCTTCCTCCCGTTGGTTCAACTGCAAATTGTGAGGACGCAGTTTGACCAATAGGAGGAGAGGATAAGCAGAGAGGGGCACAGACTCGATGAAACGTCCTGTGGCGTACAGGAGGCAGGAAGTGGACGAGCACAAATGGCTTTTACTGGACTTTGGTGACGGCCTCGTGGATGGACTGAGCGACGTAGTCGATATTCTTGCTGGTCAGGCCGCACATGTTGATGCGACCGCTAGCCATCAGGTACACGTGCTTCTCTTTGATCATGTACTCCACCTGTTTGGCTGTAGCACAAATTGCAACAGAGTGAGTGAACTTCATAAATGATGTGAAGATAAAGTGAGCCAAGACTGCTTGTTTCAAACAGAATATGAACTGAGGGGCTGCACAGAAGCCAAGTATAAGACATATAAAGATACTTTAACTGTGAAGAGCAGAGTCCAAGAACAGAAATATCAAGTTTAATACGTCTCCTTTAAGCATGTGTTGGGTATCTTGCAGGTCCCTCCACCACTGTGACGCTTATCGCTGATAATCCCAGTATGTTAAAAGCAGGATGTGCTTCTACATTAGTGCGTGTATGTGTGTTTTCACTCACGAGTTAGGCCGGTGAAGCTGAACATGCCAATCTGCTGAGTGATGTGGTCCCAGGTCCCCGGGGTGCCCAGAGCTTGCAGCTTGGCCTTCAGCTGATCCCTCATCAACAGAACTCGGTCTGCCATGGTCTTCACATTACCCTTCCTAAAGTGGGGAGGCAGGATGGAGACAAGTGGGGATATTTAAAAAAAGGACATAAGACAGGCAATGAGAGTAAAAGCCAGCTGACAAAGACTATGAACCTCTAAAAGTAATAGCACATGAGAGAAAGGCCAAGTGTTTCCAAAATTTCAAAACCATGCTAGCATGCACATTTGGTAACAAGCATCCATGTGCATGCACCGACAAGGAAGATAAGTTATTAATATTAATTGAATAATCAGGTAAAAGATGAAGGGTTAGCAGGAGCTAGTATGCTAATATTAAAGCGCTGACTGATGGAGCGTACCATTCTTCAAACAGCTCAGGGCTGTTGAGGGTCTTGCTGACAATGCGTGCTCCCTGAGAAGGTGGGTTGGACCAGGTCGTCCTGACAATCTTCTCCATCTGGGACAGAACGCGGGTTAGGTTCTCGTTGTCCTTGGAAACCACTGTCAGGTTCCCCACTCTCTCATCTGTAAGTAGAGACAGACAAAATATGGCTTCACATAAAACTAATCGAGGGTAAGTAGAGGTATAAACAGTATAAACTTATTTTTGGCTAAAACACACAAGACTGTATGCATGAATGTACGTGGACCGTGAGTACTCACTGTACAGGCCAAAGTTTTTGGAGAAGGACTGAGCTATAAAAAGCTCAAAGCCCTCGGAGACAAAGAAGCGGATGGCCCAGGCGTCTTTTTCCAGAGAGCCTGAGGCGAAGCCCTGGTAGGCGGAGTCAAAGAACACATACAGCTTCCTCCTCTGGAGAAGGAAAAGACGAAATACATACATTAAAATTCAGTTCATTTCTTTTTTAAATTACACATTAAAGCAATTGTTCAAAAGAAGAAGATAACCATGGTGAGTTAGACACCACCAAGGCCATCAGATGATGGTAAAATAATGTCTTTGTACCTTCATCACTTCTGCAATCTGCTTCCATTCCTCCTGGGTCGGGTCGGTGCCAGTGGGGTTGTGTGCGCAGGCATGGAGGACAAAGATGGAGTACTCTGGAGCTTTCTGCTCAGAGAAGACAAATAATGAGTAAAAATATTCAAAATAAATGAATAAAAATGCTCCCAAAGAGTCTTCTTGTTTTCATATCACTGTCTGTTGGGTTCTTGTAACTAAACAGGAGTCATCGTTCCATCCTCACCTCTAAATCATCCAGGAACCCAGTGAGGTCCAGGCCCCTCTGGGCAGCATCCCAGTAGTGGTATGGGCGGATATCTTTGAAACCAGCATCAGCAAATACACCGTTGTGGTTCTCTGGAAGAAGAAACGTTCAGCAAGTGTTTACCACTTAAATCTGCTCTGATACCCACTGAGACGTTCACTTCATTATCCAAAAACAGTCAAACTTTCTCAACTACAATTTCCTGCATCCTAAAACTTTTCACTAACCCCAGGTGGGTGCCGAGACGTAGACGGGCGTGGCTGCGTTGTTGACGCCGTTGTACCACCGCCGCAGGAACTCTGCCCCAATCCTCAGTGCACCTGTCCCACCCAGAGCCTGGACTCCTCCAACCTGTGACAGGAAGCGGGCAGTGGGAAACGCAATCAGAGAAATATACGTATGATATTAAATACATGTTGCTTTTCACAGTTCGGCCAGAGAATTTTGTGATAAGGCTGCGGGTCATGCCTGCTTCTGAACACTGCTGTTAATATGCACTAACTTAATACACCAAGACTTGTTGGTCTTTCAGACCTTGCCTTCACAGGTTTTCCTGCCCTTATTGTCTTGTTTTTCACTTTTTTCCCTGTTCTACCTAAACTGTTGCAGTGGTAAATGCTCATATTTAATATAAATTAAGTTTAAAATAATGAGGTTGCAGGGACGTGTGCGCACAAGAATTCCCTGTGAGTCAAAATCTCAGGCTTCAGATTGCTTGTTCAACTCTTCCTTGACCTCATGTAGATGAGAGGCCATCTCCTTCACACAGCTATGGTCGTAAGCACAACAGCTCCACCCACCTACTGTTCAAACTTTGCAAGGGGCAGCCAATCAGAAGAAATCTGCCTTAAAAGGAGGGGAAATAAAGGTGCTTGGGTGTGAAAGACGATAAACTGAGGGGTTCAGTGTATTCAGAACTAATACACCACCACTACTGGAGTCTGAGAAATACAAATGTGGAGCTTTAAATTAGGGTTTCTAAGGATGTTTAAAAGAGATTAAAGACGCAGGCAAACCTGATCAGCTGATACTCATCCACTTATGTCCATTAATCAATGGAAAGCTGAGTTACAGATTAAAATTGAAAGAACTTTTAATCAATGTAAAATGTGCTTTTATTTCCTTTTTATTTCACTGCAAAAATAAACAACATTTATTACATTTGCTCCAACTGATCAAAAACCTCCATGTGTCAGTGTGCATGTCCCACCCTGTTCTCCTTGATGGCAGGGCTATCGTCTCCCAGGGCGACCTTTGAGGCAGCGGAGCGGAACTCTGGCAGACCGAGGATGGGCAGGTACTCGTGGTTCAGGCTCTCGTCCTCCACGATGAGCCGCTCCACCTTTTTCACCACCGGCAGCACCCAGGGCTGGCAGTCATCAGTACGGTAAGCTGGAGGGGACACAAAGCAAAGCAAATGTTAATCCAGAAGGCACAGGTATTGCTTCTTAGGGACAGGTTGTGTAGACTATTACTCGTGCCTGCACTTCACAAACAAGCTTTTTTATGCTTAGTGTGATGTTGATAAATATTTACAGCTGATATACTACATAACTAAATACAAACACTTTGTTTCTGCTGCTTGTGTCTGTGTATAGCGCCATATTACCGAGTATTACAAAATTCTAGATAATACTTCAAAGATAAAAATGGTAATAACACAGCACTGCAGTCTGCAAATAGTAAAGTGAATAGAAGAAAGTGCGCACAGGAAAGAATAAACTGCCATTTAACTTCATATGATGCCATATAAACTTTGAAGGTCACCGGCAAACGTGTGTAGCACATATCTGACTCCTTAGGAACTTGTGCTCCCTCATACTGGTCTGGAGCGTGAGCAGAGCAGGATCACATATCAGGGTTTGGCAGCGGCGG